ATACTTTGTGTCCTCCACATGTTTTGACTGACCTTTCAACCACCTGATGAATATTCATGAATGTTCTTAAATTTAAAAGCCTTGATAAAGTAATGAGATCCTTGCATTTGTGTATACATACAGGCAACAAAATTAATCTTACATTTGCCTTGATAAAATCTATCAGAGAATATATATATATATGAAGAAATATGGATTTTAGGTGTGTTATATTTATGGGATAAAGTGCTCAATATCATGAACTCCCTTCCCTATTCCAGTTTCCCTGAGAGCTATAATCTCCAACTATTCAAATTTAATGTCAATCGACATCTCCAGTTGCCTTGATCTATCCACTACCCTTCTCCTCATCCTTTCCTCTATCACTCCTATATGATCTTGCTCCAAATCTTCTGTAACCCTTTGCGTCTTAGTGGCTTCCCACCTTGCTTGGGGTGAAACGCTAAAGAAAAAAAAAAAAAAATAGAGCTTATGTAAATATAAATATAAAGATGAACATTGAAGTCAACACTCAGAGGCACCAGGCTGTTTCATGCAAGATGCAATCGACCTGATGATTGCATCTAGCATGAAACAGCCTGTCACCCTGAGTGTTGATTTCAATAAAATATTTTATATATATATATATATATATATATATATATATATATATATATATATATATATATATATACTGATTGTAATGGTACCGAGCAAATACTGCAAGCATAAATGAATACATGCATGTTAATATGATATGGAAAATGCAAAAAATGCATAAAACCTTTAAAAAGAATATTGTGAAAGAAAGGAATTTGAATATGGTTATTCATTTGAATTGACTTGCTAAATTAAAAATTCACTTCTCATCTCTCTCTTTTTCATTCTCTTTCATTATATACATTTCAAAGATTTAACATCAAAACTTCTATCCTGTTGATTTACAATTCAAAAATTGAAAGGATCCTATTGAACAGTTGCAAATATTAAAACCTTAATTCCTCTGAAAGTGAAATTAAAGGAGAAACTCAGACAGGAAAAGAAAATGTCTTCTCTGTTCAATGCCTACAGCAGTTTTAAGAATTTACCACGACTTTTAGGTTCTGATCAGGTTGTCTTGGAGAATATTTTGCGATTGTAGATCATGTAGAAAACTACATTTAATTTCAGACAATTAAAATGCACAGAATTACGTCTCATGCATTCCAAATGAGTTCCAGTTTAAGAAAGATTTATTTTGAGAAAAAATCACTTTCTTGATCAGGATTTGGTTTTTGGCCAAAGAAATTTCATCTGAGGGTTGTTGGTTTGTATACAATAGGCATAAAATAAGCCAAATTTAGAACAAGGTCATTTTCATGGGGTATCTATAGATAATAATTTTTTATGTTAAAGTTCACTTGATAAAAGGCTCGAGACCAACTCAAGTTTGAGGGTTACTGTTACAATGGTTCTGATGAATGAAGTGTGTGATATGAATAAAAAAAGAATTGCTAGGAAGTGAATATTATGCAGATAAGGAAGATAGAAGATGATTGACTGTGGACTTGGAGAGGTTAAGATTGTAATGTTCAGGGAAGCATCCCCGCGGGAGTCTTTTTCATAAATTGGCAGTTCTTGTAAAAAGCTTTTTTAAATAAGTACGCTACTTGGCATAGACTAATGGACATTAAACTAAATTTGCTTTATTAAGGTTCATTCTCATCAGATTAAACTAAACTGAGTAAATATTTACACTTGAGTTACATATATATAATGGTTGGAATAAAAGAGTTGGTGGGGGAATAAATTTTAATTAATTGGTTTGATTGTTCTTGTTTAGCTGCATATCAACACCTCTATGGGTCATTTAATGCTGAAGACTAAATCTTTTTTAACCAATTTAAAAAAAAATTAATGATACAAGTTTTGCTAATTAACCCATAGTGGGGGGAGAAGAGGTGGATTCATAACTTTTCCAGGGGTAATTGTGTGTAAGTGAACCCATTTGGAATTCCGAGTCATTATCCATTACACAACCCACGTATCCATGCTTACAGCATTTCTGGTATTCTCAAGCAGTCACCTATATAGGTACTGACCATGCTCGATGTTGCTTAACTTCGGTGATCATACTGGAATGGATGTTTAAACATGATGTGACCATAATATTTAATAAAAGGTGTTTAAATAAGGATTTCTCAGGTGAATTTTTTGCCGAAAAAGAAAAATCATCCTGACAAGTCTAAATGGGAATCAAATTTTTTTTGAATTGATTGATTTGTTTTTATGGCTTATCAACCCTTTGTAGGTTATTTAAACCAGAAACATATTTTAGATTGTAGGAGGTTGATTACAGTACCCAGTATTCCCAATATGAAAACCCCACACCAAATTTTAGCTGGGTGGAAGTGGGGGTTTTATTTTGTGATATGTTTGTGGATAGAGGTGGGAGTGTATTTGGGTTTTCAGGGTTTATCAATTTAGGAATGCTGAAAAATATTCTTATGGCTAACTTTTCAGCATTCTTAAATTTAAAAATTTAACAATATTTTTACTTCTGTTTGAAATATGGTCACAAAATAAAATCCTTAGATTTACCTTGATAAAGTCCACCGGGGAATGAAACATCCTGGTAAAGAAAAGTTCTCCTTTTGTCTTTATTCATATAAATCAACCATTCACCCTTGCAGGGAATATTGCTGTCATATATTATCTGGAGCCCCTGCTTTGCATCCTAGGATCCTCGACAAAATCTGCAGACAGATATGCAATGTGGTTGACCCTGATCTAGCATCTTATTTACAGTCGCTCTCTCACAGACGTGCTGTCACCTCCCTATGTCTTTTCTACAAATACTTTCACGGTAACTGCTCTGACGAGTTATTTTTGCTAGTTCCCAAACTGAACGAATTTAAACATGCCACTAGGTTGGCATCTCAGTCCCACTCTTTCACCGTCAAAATGGTTAAATGTAGCCGTCTCTTCTACTCTAATAGCTTCATGTCTCGCACTTCCAATCTGTGGAACTCCCTTCCTCTTACTTGCTTCCCTGATAGCTATAATCTCCAACTATTCAAATGCAATGTCAATGACATCTCCAGATGCCTTGATCTATTCCCCGTCCTTCTCTTCATCCTTTCCTCTTTCCCGCCTCTTTACTCTGGCTCCCACTCTCTATAACCCCTTGCATTCTAGTGGCACTCCTGCCTTGCTTGGGGTGAAATATATATATATATATATATAATTAAATGATTCATCGAGTCTGAAAGAAACCTCAACAGAATGCAGAAAGCACTGGACGGCAGTTTCGTCCCATGTTTGGAACTCATCAGCAGTGAACATCCACTGAGGCATGTTGGAACAGTTGGTATGACGTTTGCTTGATAACCTATCTGTCAGGGTTTCAATTCTTGATAGTGGATGCGCACTGCTGATGAGTCCCAAATATAGGACGAAACAGCCGTCCAGTGCTTTCTGCTTTCTGTTGAGATTTCTATCAGACTTGATGAATTACTTAATTATAATTATCAAATCCTCCTAATAATTTCTATCACACACACACACATTTATATATATATATATATATTGGCACAGAAATACTAAAATAAATATATAGAATTCACAGAAAATAATTTAATTATAGAATTCATTGGGAATTGTTTTACTATAGAAATATATTAAACTGAATCACAATTTGTTCCCCTCTTTTATGTGACTTCAGGATTCAGGCTCTCCACAGCATCATCTCTCCTGTTCCTTAACCACCTCTTTTTGCTCTTCACTGGAAACTAAAAGAAAACCAAGAAGAAGAAAGTGAAAGGAAAGGAAAGGAAAAGGACTAAGCATTAAACGAAGAATGAAAGGAAACAGAAGAAAGATATAGAGTAAAAAGTGAGAAAAGATAAAAGAAAAAGGAAGAAAAGAATATACATAAAGAGAAATAGAGAAAAAAAGAAAAAGTATAAAAGAAAGAAAGGGAAAAAGGAGAGAAAGAAAGAAAGAAAGAAAGACTAGAGGAAGATAGACCCACCCTTCCTGTCAACAAAGTAGATTAGTCAAGCACTCTTTCTTCCCTCCATTTCTTTACATTTTGTCATACGACATGTTAATTTCTGTTTAGCGAATATAGAGATGTACAATGAAGGAAAAGTAAAAAAATGAATGGAGAAAATGAAAGGGTAAAATTTAAGAAAAAACTGTGAGATGGGGAAAAGGAAAGAAAATGTAAAAAGAACAAAAAATCAGAAAAAAGAACAAAAGAGACAAAGAAGAAAGAAAAAAGTAAAAGGAAGTTTAAGAAAAGGAAAAGTGAGAATGTAGAAAAAAGAAAAACAGAAGAAAATGAATATAGAATAAAGGGTGTGGCAGTTTAAAGAAAGTAAGAAAGAAAGAATAAAAGAAAAAGGGAAAGAAGGAAAAAGAAAAAAGGAAAGAGAAAAGGCCAGAAAGAAAGAAAGAAAGTAAGAAGAAAAGAAATTAAAAAAGAGAAAATAAGAAAAACAAATAAGAAAACAGAATAAAAAAATAGAGAACAAACAGCATAATTCAAAGAAAGAAAGAAAAAAAGAAAGAAAAAAAGGAAGAAGCAAACAAACAAGATAGAAGGAAAGAAACAGAGAAGCAAACAAGTAAAAAAACCCAAAAAGAATGACTGAAAGGAAAGAAAGAAGGAAAGCAAGAAACAAACAAACAAGCAAAAAGGATGAAAGAAATGAAGAAAGAAACAAAAAAAAAGAATGAAGGAAAGGAAGAAGAAACAAACAAAAAATAAACAAAAAAGAATGAAAGAGAGAAAGAAAAAAGAAACAAACGAACAAACAAGCAAAAAAAAGCATGAAGGAAAACAGAAACACACAAACAAAATAGAATGAAGGAAAGGAGAGATGAAAGAAAGACACAATAAACAAAAATAGAAGAAAGGAAAGAAGAAAGAAAGAAACAAAAAAGGAATTAATGAAAAGAAAAGAATGAAAGAAAGAAACAAGCAAACAAGCAAACTAGTAATCAAACAAACAAGAAAGAAAGAAACTAACAAACAATCAAAACGGAAGGAAGGAAAGAAAGGTAGAAACAAACAAACAAATAAGAAAGAAAGAAAGAAAGAAAGAAAGAAAGAAAGAAGAAAAGAAAAGAAAGAAGGAAAGAAAGAAATGGAGAGAAAAACAGCAAGAGAGAGAGAGAGAGAGAGACCAAGGGAGAGTAGCGGTGAGATTAATAATAAAGAAAAAGGAAACTTCAGAGGAATTGTTTTATCAGGGAGAAAAATCGAATGATAATGATAGAGAAGTGAGAGAGATAGAGAAATGAAAAGATAGAGAAAAAAAAGATATATCACAGATGAGAGGGATTCAATCTTCTATCAGGGAAATTAAGAGGGCAGAGGTTCAAGTCCTTTGACAGATGCCATGAGAAAATACCAAGTGACAAGATAATAAGGACTTTGGCAGCAAGTGAGCAAGACTTCTTCAGCCCACCTCATTTCTTGCTTTTCCGTTTTTTGATTGATTGACTGACTGATTGATAGATCACATGATGAGAATCAACCGGCCAATCATTTTTGTTTTACACTTTCATTTCTTTTTATGTTCTTTTATTGTCTTCTCTTGTTGTTGTTGTTTTTTACTCGATGGCTGGGAGTAATTTTATCTCTGTTTTATTTTCATCATTCAACATCTTCATCAGTCCCCTGCCCTCCCATTACCACCCATAGACATTTAACTTGATATGTATGCATTTATGATCAGATTGTGACTTTTGGCCATGATTTATATTTTCTTTTGTTTTCACAAGATTACTTCTGTCTGTCTCAGATATTTTTCTTTAAATATACACACAGAGAGAAAGAGAGAGAGAAGTGTGACGTTGCAAAATGTTTGCCATTACAGAAAATGAAACTTTGAATTCTAGCCAAGCCATTTTCTGCTCACTATAAATTAATACCTTTGTATTCTGTTCCATTAACAGATATTATGTTAAAAGGTCTTGTTACTGGCATTCTTCTAGTACTTTAGCAACTAAACTATTTATGGGAGAGTAGTTTATTCTAGTGCTCACCCAATGCAAACCAGTGACAAGATATATGGCAATAATACAGGGAGATGTAGGTTCATGCCTTCTATAATAGTTTCAGTGCAAAGAGACCATAAAAGCATTGGACATTGTTTAAATTTTGTATGAGAATTTTATTTTTAGAATGTTAATACCTCTCTCTATCTTGCAAGGGACTAAAATATGCTGACTGGACTCCTGCTGTGTGGTAAAACCCCTGACCTAAAAGGGACACCCACCAAGATAATGCCTATGAACACAAATATAAATGACCAATATTTGACTATCCCTGAGCAAAATAAATGCTTATAGACTTGAATATAATTGACCAATATTTATCTATTCCCAAATCAATAAATTATTATTATTATTATTATTATTATTATCATCATCATCATCCTCATCCTCCTCCTCCTTCTTCTTCTTCTTCTTCTTCTAAGTACTGTGTTCATTCTGGTCATAGGCAATCATGGCTCTCCCCAATTTACTGTCATTTGTAGTTCTTAGTAAATTTTGTCTTTTTGCTATCACTCCTAATCCCTGTTCTGCCAACCATTTACATTTTGGTTAGTTATGTACAGTTTTTTTCTATCGCCGTGGCCTTCAATATATCTTGTGAGTGTCAAATTTTCTAAGCACTTTTTTCCTTATCATAGACACTAGAAATTTTAACCCTTTCTGATGTTAAATATCAGTTTCCTTTTTGTTCCCATTTTGAGTAAAATTCTCAGCATCCTTCTGTGGAACCACATTTCTGTTGCCACAAGTCTCTTCTTCATCTATGATGATATATATGTGTGTGTGTGTGTGTGTGTGTGTGCGTGTGTGTGTGTGTGTGTGTGAGAGAGTCTACATGGCTGTGTAGTTAAAATGTTCACTTTCTGACCATGAGACTCAGTTTCAATACTCATCATGTTATTTTTATTATAAAAGTGACTTCTTGATATTATTGGTCCGAAGAGGTGATTCCAGCATGTGGCAATATTGGAAAGTGCCTGAAAATGATACAACTCATTGACACAAGTGGGTAGATGGAACTCTTTGGAGGCTGTCAATGGTGGCTTTAGCATGATGTGACTGAAGGTCTGAGTGTTTTGGCATTGTTCAAACTGCTGATCATCTCTGATAATTTACTCTCTCCCAGAAACTGTAACTAAGGTTTGTTCAGCATAGTTGCAGTATAAAACACATGTCTCTGAGCAGGCGTCTGCAATAGGGATAGGCTAGCCACCTTAGCAGATGAGTGTGCTCAGAAAACTTGAGTACCCAGCCATTATAAAGAAGCACACACACACTCATATATATATATATATATATATATATATATATATATAAAGAGAGAGAGAGAGAAAGAGAGAGTAAGAGAGAGAGAAAGAGAGAAATACTTTGAGTAGAATCATGTTGCACATAAGGAACTCAAGAAAGATATTCATAAGGGTTTTGATGTTAATTTCCTTTAAAATATTGCTACACAATTTGATCGATTTATTTTATATTAATGTCATTGCAAAAATTTCAAGATCTTTTGCCTTAAAATTCCATCATGTCTCGTGAAAACTATGCTTGAAAACCAGATTGTTAAAAGTTAGAGCAGGAAAGCTAGATCTCACCTTTCTTACAGCCATATAGCATTTGAAACACTGGTTTCAGTATGATAACTGAAATTCAGCAACATAGAGCCTGGTCAGTACCTAGATGGGTAATTGCTTCGGAATCCCAGCTGCTGTAACCTTGGATGTTTGGGTGGTGTAATGGACAATGGCTTGGGATTGTTAATCGGGGAGTTGACTTACAATTTCATTTGGCTCATTCAATTCACTTATGTGCAAATGCCCTTGTGAAAGGATATGAATCCATTCTTCTCCTCCATGCTATGGGTTAAATAGTAAGACTTGTATCACTAAATCATTATCTCCAAAAAAATTTCTTGGGAAAGGTATAAATCCACCAGTTATTCCCCATCTATGGGGTAATTAGTCGGAGTTGTATTGGTAAATCTTTATTATCTCTAAAAATTTTTACAATCTAAAAATATTTTCTGGCTTTAAATAACCTGCAAAGTGTTGATAAGCTATTGAAAACAAATCAGTAAATCAATCCTACATAAAACATCAACATTCTGAACTTTACCACCACCTGAACACAAACATCTCATATATGGTGGGATATATGTAACTATCTCAACCCCTAGGCCATCCTTTCTTTAATTTTGACTTGGTTGAATCTCTTTCTTGTTTTGGACAAGATGACATATCAGCATTCAAAATTCTGAACTTTACTGCCACCTGAACACAAACATCTCATATATAGTGGGATATATGCAACCATCTTAACCCCTAGGCAATCCTTTCTTTAATTTTGACTTGGTTGAATCTCTTTCTTGGTTTCAGACAAGATGACATATCAGCTTTCCTGAACCCCACAATACACATACACATCCAGTTAATCCCCATGAATTAATTTAAATAAACCAAGTTCCACTCCTTGCAACCAAATGAGTCCAGATTTCCATTGTCTTCCGTAAACTCGTAAAGATGGCCCAGTTGCAGATGGTGTTGATTTTGAGTAATGAGATTCAACGGTGTGTTTACCATTGTCTTGTTTACACTTCTAGCTTTTTTTTGTTTACACTTCTCTTTTTTTCCTCGGTACTTTTATACAATTTAGATTTTAGATGACTTGGACATTATTAAATCTGATGATCGATGCTGAATATATGGTGTCGAAGAATTGAGATGGGATGATGTGACTTTGATATTTACTATCCTAAATTTAATATGGCACAAGGCAGAAATATAGGTCATACAGTGAGGGTTTAATTATCTATTATAGCAATAGTTAGAATGAGTAAATGATAAAGAACCCTGATTACGTCAATTTATTTTTTTTAATCATTTCACCTCAAGCAAGGTAATAAAGCCACTAAGACCAAGGATTTACTGACTGTGAAACATTATTAAGAAAAAAGATAATAATGCATTTTAATTTTTGAAAATCAAATTTGACTCGAAAGCAAGAGGCTGGAAGACAGTTCCACAAGCAAGAAGTGCAAATGAAGACACTGTTAGAATAGAAGTTACAGTTCCATCTTGCCATATCAACTGTAAAAAGAAATATATAGACACATATTTCTCATTACTCTAAACATTATTTTTGGGGATAGAGAAGTTTGAGTAGATACTTTCTTTTTTTTTTTGTTTATTAGAAATTGTGTGAATTGTTTTTACCGAATTGCACATACAAGGGACTTAATGAAGAAGATGTACTCTTAAGTAGGACTTAAAACAGTGCCCACCACCAATTTTAGAGTACATTATTTTTAATAAGGTTTTGGAATATGTAGTCGGGTAGACATACTTCACACTGCTTTAGAAAAATAATTAGACAGGAGAGCTACTCAAACATGCATATCTGCATTTAGATTAATTACAAAATAATGCAAGTTTAAAAACGGGATCTGTATCAATATATATATATATATATATATATATATATATATGTATATATATATATATAAATTATTAGGAGGATTTGAGATAATTATAATTAAGTAATTCATTGAGTCTAGAAGAAACTTCAACAGAATGCAGAAAGCACTGGACGGCCGTTTCGTCCTATATTTGGGACTCATCAGCAGTGCACATCCACTACCGATAATTGAAACCCTGACAGTTACATTATCAGGCAAACGTACCAACTGTACCAATGGGTCTCAACGACAAAGAGGTAATGACTCAGTATAGCACCACTCAATCACATATTCCATGGTGGAACTCATCCAAGTTTCCCTTACCCATAGGACTGTGCCCCACGAGCCACAAGTACTAGAGTAGTCGTGGCTCATGATGATTGAAAAGGTGTTTGGAGTGATCACTAGTGATGGCAACGTTATGCCTCCATACATCTTCCAACACATGTGCCTTGAGGAGGTAGTGGTACCCAGGGTCAAGAGGGTGGCTGCTAGAAGACCCTATATCTGGCAACTGAACACTGCACCATGCTACACAAACAGGAGAATCCAGTCAAAGCTGTCAGACAATACTTGTGACAATATCACCCCTTACATCTAGTCACTCAACTCCCCAGACAGCAACTTCCTGCAAACTTATGTGTTGTGTACAGTTGAGCGAGAGACCAAGAAAACTCCTCATAACACCAAAGATGAACTGAAGGCAAGGATTTTCG